AGTACTAATTTTTCCCAAAATTCAATTTCTCAATAATCAAAAATAACACCCAAAGAAAAAAACCATATAACATAATTTTAAAGATGGGCCATATCAGTGCCGTAAATAATGTATCGTAGAAATGGTTGTAACTTAATGTGGTATTAAATCAAACCGTTTTTTACGAATTTAAATATTTCCAAGACTGCAGTTACAACTTGAAATATCACGGAAAGTTTCACAGAAAGCAAAAAAAAAGAAAGAAAAAAAAGAAGGGTTGTATTTTGTGATAGATCGAAAGACACCTCACACTCTGTTTACTATAGCTTCTAATCTATCATTAGGATTCATAGATTAGAAGTTAAAAGGTTATATAGTTTTAAGAGGTCTAGTGGTTAGATGGTTTGATGAAGTTCGGTTATAAAAGATCTCAAAATTTTCGTTTCGTGAAAAAAGAAAAAGGTCATGACTTGTTATCTGTTTTATTCTGAGCAATTTGACACCAAACCTAAGATGATGTAAAAAATGAAAAAATACTGTAACTCAATCTCTGAAAACAGAAAATGACACACCCATTTACTAATTGGCATTCGTCTGTCAACTCAGCTATTTCGTTTCACGACATAAGCTTTAAGTTTTATCTTTAAATCAACTTTTCTTAATTTTTTTTTTAAATCTGGTGTGCAAGAATGCTTGTCTTCTGATAAACCTATTAAGTTAAACTTGGTAATCGGTGGGAGTATAGTGTGTGGCAAAAATTCATACTAGCTCTTAAATAATGGTAAATATTATTTTGTTAAAATTATTATTTAAATAAAAATGCAAAAAATTGGGTATTTTTTAAATTTAAAAATGGTTTTATGATTCATTTTCTTCAATCTTCTATGTTTTTTTATAGCATATTTGACTGTCTATTAAAAGCGTTTTATTGTTATTAACATAATTTTTCTGACATTTAATATGTGTGCCAGACGGTATAGTATTTAAAAAAAATTTAATTAATGAAAAATTAAATTATAAAAGATTTTAGCATCGTTTCGCAATTGTGTAAATATTCAAATAATATCTGTGCTTATGTTAAACTCAGTTAAATAAGCCCAGTTGAATTTTATTTCACGTAATATGCTCAGCTGAATTTTAAACAAGTTATGAAAAGTCAAATAGTTGTAGTGCGCAAAAGAAAAGAAAAGAAAAGAAACGGACAACCCTTAATAACTTTTGATCTAATGATTGGATCTTCACGTTCTAGAGCTCAATCTTAATGACTCGAGAGGGTGACCTTACATATGCTAATTAATAAGTACAGACGATATATTAAGTTACGAAATCAGACACAAAAACGTACTTTATCTGAATAAATATTCCTTTCTTTCGACGGATTCGAGTTTCTGACCGCCAAAATATATGGGGGCAGCCGCAATCTGGAAAATATGGTCCCAATATTTTTGTCAGGAGAGCACTCCAAAGTTTGGATCCCTTAATGTTAATTTCACTTTTTGCTTATTTCGCTATATCTCGAAAATTTTTTAAGCGAATTGAAATTTTTTTAACCAAACCACTGACTTGGAACCATATTTCCCAGATTGCGGCTACCTTCTATATTTTGGGGGTCAGAATTCCGAATTCGTTGAAAAAAGGTATGCTTATTCAGAGAAAGTACGTTTTTGTGTCTGATTTCGTAACTTGAAATATAGTCTGCACTAATTAGTAAGCATATTTGAGGTAACCCCTTTGAGACATTCAGATTGAGTCCTAGAAACTTTTTTAGACGCACTGTACATTTATGATTTCACTGTAAAATTAAAATCAGCTATACCTTTTAACATGTGTAATGCTTAATTGTACAATTTTTGACTCACAGTTATTTACGCGTCCGACGTCCTTTTTCAGATAAGTGAGTTATTGTTTCCTATCTATTTTGAACATCAATCAAAATGTACTAGAACAAGTAAATTAAGTATAAAAAATAATCTTAAATTGAGAAACCTAAGTTTTATTTTAAATTTATGTTGCTAAAATATTTCATTAAATATTTAACTTAAGTAAATGAAGTTTTAAGTTCTAATTGTGAAAAATATTTGATTAAATAAACTGCTATCTTTTAATTAAATCTGTTGATTCAAGAAGCTTAAATTGTGTGTTTGAACTTACTAAGGCAAGGTTATGCCGTTTTGGGTTAATTTAGAATAATTTGTTTCATTAGTTTTTGAATTTCATAGTTCCTCATTTCTTGGTTTTAGTTTAAAAAATGTCGATGTTCTACGAGTTCTTTTGAGTTTAATTGGAATTTTTGGTAAATTGTGCACTAATTATATTTCAGATATATATCATATACGCTGCTACAGTTCTTTTTTAGCTCTTTTAATTTTATTATTATTTAAAGATTAACTCTTAACGTATTGATGCAGCCATAAATGCGGTATAACACTTTTACTTACTGGGTCCCTTTCCCGCGTATATGGCAAAAAAAATCTTTTTTATTTTAATTTTTGTAACTTTTTCTGCTATCAAATTTAAAATGAATTTAATTATAAATAAATTTATAGTTATAATTAATATTATATCTATGTCTGGAGAGAAGAAAATCTGAAATACTTCCCTCTTTCTTAAGTGTTTAGAATTGGTATTAAGTTATTTATTTATACCATTTTCTTGCACAGAAATTTATTTACTGATCTTTGCACTCGTTCTTTTGCTTAAAATTCAATAATATTTAAGATAAATAAAATAAAGAAGCGTCAATAAATCACGAATGAAAGTACAGTAATCAGTAATAAAATACTGTAGTTTTGGTTTTATAAACAAGAACCTTCCTAAGTGTCTGAATACTAAATGGTATTTAGTCATATTTGGTGTTTAGTATTTAGACACTGAGGTGCTTAGATATTGGGGTGTTCAGAAACTGAGGGAAGTTCTTGTTTAGCGAACCGAAATTATAGAATTATTTACATTGTTTTCTTGTTTTAGTCAACATAGTTCAAAGTATACCCTAACCGTTTTGGAAATACTTAAACTTTTTGAATATTTAAGAAATAGGGCGCATTCTATAGGTTTTGAGAATGTTGATAATAATTAGACCAGTTTATCACGTTTAGATGTAATACTAACAAATCAGAAATTTGTCATCATACCCTGTAGTGTAATATTCTAGTATTTTATTTTGGGTATGATTAAACCACCTGTTTCACTTTTTGGTTCTCATATTTGTGTTTTCCGTTTAAAAATTGGTCATGCTGTCAATGTCTGATTAATATTTTTATGAATTGTGCGGATTATTATATTGAAATATTTCATATTGCTTTTATGTTCGCGTCATTTTTATTTCTAGTTCTTTTACACCATTTTTAAAGTGATATTTTCTTACATCTGCTTGACAGATACAAAAAAAAAAAAAAAAAAAAAAAAAATCTTTTTGTCAATTGTCTGCGTTGAATGATAACAGTTTTGTTATATTTGCGAAAAGAGTTCAATTTTGCCAAAACTGTCACTTCATATCCTTTGTCTTTTAAGCTCCATAATTGATTAGGGTGCCTAAATGACTTCGGAGACCAAATTTTCATAATTAGGATTTTTTTTTTCGATTTGTGTTTGCTTTACGTACTGAAACAAGGCATGGATACCTAAATATATTAAAATTAAATATCTTTTTACTTTAAAGTTTGATTATGTGGAAAGTTTTCAAAAATCGTTATGAAAGTTTCCTTTCTCAAAGCTATAAGTTATCATTATAAGTTATTTTTTTTAAAAAAAAATCCTTTTAAGTTATTATTTTTTTTAAATTTTTTTTTTTAAAAATTGGGCTCTGTTGCAGCATTTTTTGTTTCGGTTCTTATTTTTAGATGTTTATGTATGCTGTTACTGTCTGTAATCTGCCATTGGAAATAAAAAAAAAACTAAAAAATTTTTCCTGATCTATTGTGTTAAATGATGAATGGTCTAATCATCAGACTTCATATTTATTTTATAATAATTTACAGCTTAAATCTTAATATTTTTGACGAAAATGTCCATAAGTACAATTTTTTTAAAAATAAAAATTGGCTTTATGTAACAATTTTATCAGTTAAGGCATACTCTGTTTCCTACTTACCCATGAAGAATTTAAGGAAATATTCAATGACTTAACAAATTTTAAAATTTTGTCCAAAAAAATGGAGGCAATCAGAAAATCATACAGTTCAGTTTTTAGATTCAAGACTAAACTGATGAGCAGGGACTTATCTGCTTATGGGTAAATTCTTCTTCTTATTTTTTTGTTGTTGATATTATTATTTTTTTCTAATCATAAAAAGTTCTGATATATATCTCATATAAAGTTCATTACATGAATTATGTCTGATAAAAATGAATGACTTTATGTTATTCAAAAATCTGGAGTTAGATTATTTAACAAAAATTGACCTAGAAAAATGATATTCGAGTATCTTAAAATGTGTTAAATTGCTTGACAGATAAATTATGCATTGTTCGCTCACCACTCTCCAAAGACAGATCAATTTATATTTTATTATAATGATTACTTTTTTAATAATATAAATAATTAAAAATATTTTCGTTATTAATTTATGCATAGTTTCAAACCCTTATTTTTATTGTTATTCTAAAATTGCTGGTTAAATAACAATTATTTTAAACTGATCTCTGTTTTCATTTGAAATTAAACTGCGCCATAAAATCTCTCTCTCTCTTTAATCGAAAAATTCAAAATTGGTTTTTAATGGCCTTTTTGTAAGATGAGCTTTATTGCAAATTTTTTAACAAAATTAAATTTTGTTTTATGAGTTATTTTAAATTCTATTTTAGCACAGCAATAGCGAAAGAAAAAATATATTGTTAAGCCAATTTTCTCGAAAATTACCGTGAGGCATTTGCGTTTGCTTTTTCAATTGCACGGTAGTGTATACAGAAGATGATACAGTGTTACCTCAGAGGTACAGTGTCGTAAATAACTTTTGAAGTACTGTATCACATGCGCAACATGAAATTTATTAGTAAAAACTGTAAATAAAACAAGCACAATATGTTGTCCAGACCGAAGCCAGGTTTTGTTGTTTATTGAGAACAACCACGTACAACATTTACAGGTTTACTTGAGGCAGAAAAATAGCAGGAGGAAAAATATACTTTCTCATGGATTGTACATAATTTTCCAATCATACAAAACTTAAATTACAGATAGTTATACATTTCAAAGGAAATATTATTTTATTGTGTCTTAACTATAAAAAATAAACACAAATTTTCATAATGCAGCTAATAATTGTCTTAAATTATTCATTCATTCATTGTTCATTTACTCAAATATTTGTGAATAAATTTTAATGAAGATGTTTGAATAGTTTAATGTATCAGTAAAAGTTTTATTTGAAAGAAGAAATATAATGAATGGCTGATAGGACTCGATATAATTCTGAAGAAATTTTGTTTCACACTATTAAAAAATTAAGCAATACTTAGAGCTAAAAATTTAAAAAGGTCGGTTTATTCATATTTTCAAAGCCTTTGAATCTACGGGCTTAATAGAACGCAGGCGGCCAAGTCAAGTAGCTGCCTGATGTTACTTAGATTGGTACCAGTGCCAGATGAATGGCTCAGTGGGCCTTGACCAATTACCTCGACTATTAATGTAAGTGGGGCAGAAGTTTTCACAGTTATGGTCATTAATCTCTGTATCAGCATGTTTGAAATTTCAAGCAATGCTATAAATTTTCAGAATCAAGCTATTTTGCTTGGCAATTTTTTTCATTAAAAAATTAGTGACTCATTAATTATCAATAATTATTGCAATTCGGGTTTCAGTATCTTTAGTTAGACTGGAAATTTATTTGAGTACCTTAAGTACAACTGGAAATTTATTTGAGTACCTTAAGTACAACTGGAAATTTATTTCAGTACCTTAAGTACAACTGGAAATTTATTTTCACTATCGTAAATGTAGTTATTCTATTGTAATTAGTTATTAGTGTAAATTTAGACCCATTATTGTAAATTTTTAACATGCCACTTGAATGTATAATTAAATTAAATAGGTTTTTTTATAATCAATTATATATATTGTAAATTTTGCTATACTATTGTAAATCTATTGTTGCTTATACCCCTTTATTAAACTGTAAAATAACAGACCAGTAAAGAACCGTAGAAGTAATTTAAAATACACATCTTCAGAATCAAATTGCTTTGAGTAGATGTACTTTTGGTTGAAATGTGTTTTATTCACAAAAATCTTCGGATTGAAGTAAAAGTAATTATACTGGGTACAAGTTTTTGCTGCACTTATACGAATTCTTGATATTGCCTTATTTGGGTGTGGGGATTTCAAATCTGAAATTTGTTTTGCTACTGAAGCTACTATTTTTGGCGAAATGTGCAAGATTGAAAACGCTAAAAATAATGTCGCGTAATTATTGCGACAAACTTCTAAAGGAGCACATCACCAGTATTAAACTTCCATAGGAAATGTTGCGCGGAACTATTATCATACGCGTCTGAGGCATAGCCTTATTATGACCTGCTTATAAGCGGAAAAAGAAACATTTCATGATAGGAAAACGCCCATAACCGCGTACGATGACTTTTCCGGACATGGTTTCCTATGCAATTTTAATCCTAATGATGCGGCTCTATCTCCCCAAGAAGTTGGCGTAACATTACCCGACATTTGCTATATCTGCCAATTATCCCCAAAGGAAATTAATTTAGAGTTTCTTCTATAAAAAGTTGAATCAAAGTTTGTTTTTATTACTTAAAAATTTCTTTGATGACGTATTTAGACTTTATATTCATGTATTGTTAATGAAATATATTGTAAATTTTCATTTTTTAAACGCAACGCGTAAAATTTCCGTGTTGAATGTTTTCGTTTAAAGAAAGTTTCTTTATTAGTTTTGAAACACTAAGTTCTGTATCTTGAAACCTAGCAATGAAAAATGACTAATAAACATAAACGGGATTAATTTTGAATATGTAGGCAGAAAATTGTTTAGAATTCCTGTTCAAAATGTTTAAAGGTTTTAAGGCATTTTACTATTCGTCGTTTTATTTAATTTAAATTAATACAAGGTCTTGTCTACGATTTTTTCAGAAGAATATCTTTTTTGAATTATAAAATGCAGTCAAAATCTATACCTTAATAAGTACTTGTTTTAAGAGAAGTATGAAAATGGTAGGTTTAATAATATTTACTTTGAAATGTAAGTTTATAAAGAGTATAGGGGAAAAGAAATAATAAATACTATAATTTACATGAAGTATTTGGTGAACAAGATATCCACAGAGAATGAATTTTTTCTAGCTTCAAATGTGAAAAATTATAACAAATGATACTACAATAAAAAGCATTTAATAAAAATACTTTATCATGTAAAAACAACAGCAATTTTCTATAAACAATAAGTATCTTTTTGCAAAATGACCAAAGCTTTTTTTATTTGAGAATTGTGTTTAGTTATAATATAAACTATTTATATCATGGACGTCTTTATTTTATTAGAAAAATATTATATTTCGCGAAGAAAAATCTGAAAATTGATAAATGACTAAAAAAAACTTATTAAAAAATTCCTAAACAATTAAAAAATTCATAAACTTTTATAAGTCAATTAATGTTTTTTTTTCTAAAACCAAAACAAATCTCAGTTATCAATATTTTACTATTACTATTGTTACAAGTTGATTTTTAACAGCAAATTATTCATTTTCACCCTAACGTGAAGCATTTTAAGTAATAATTTATTTAGTTTAAAATTAAAAATCTATTTGAGTACTGTCAATTTATCAGAAATTATTTGAAAAAAATTTTTACAAAACATATACATATAATAAACAGAAAGTAGATTAAAAGAAGTACAGAGTAAGATAGAAGTTTTCAATTAATTCTTTTCTCTCAGATAATAGTATAAAGAAGCACCAATTGGTATACAATATTTTCATAAAATAACAATAATCGTAACTATTCTGAACAACTATATAATTTTAGTTAAACAACAACTTTAAATATATAGTTTTTTTTCTTAGTAGTTACACTGTACAGAAATATTATTAGTATTAATGTTTTTATGAAGTACCTATTGAATAAATTGTTTATAATAATAAAGAAAATAATTTATAATAATAAAAAATAAAGAAATTGTTTTACGTGTAGTAATACGTGTGCAATTTATAGAATCTTACAAAAAACTATAAGAGTAGTGAAATTGATAAAAAGAAGTCTTAAATTAATTATTTAAAAATAGTTTACGTCAGCATTAGGTCTTAAAATTAGCAAATGCGAATTTATTAAATTTCTTGTGCATTTTAAAATTAAGATTAAACTCAAAATTCATGCAAAAACTTAAATATTAGTTTTTTTTAATAGTTCACTAACACGATCTAATAAGTAAATATTTCATTAATGGTAATTTTAACAGTGTTTAAAATTTCATACGTGGCGGTAAAAAGGGAAAAATCTTTTTTATATTTGAACTTAAAACAGTGCTATAAATGCAATTATAAGGTATTATTAGGGAATATAGTGGTGTTATATTTAAACCTCTACTAAACAATCAAACTCACAATAATGGCTAAATAAAAAATTCATGTAAACTCAGACCTCCATTTTTTGATTTTAAAGATGCGTTAATTTTGTCAAAGATTCTTTTCGTAGCATTTGTAATATTTGCGCACAAGCAAACTACTATATTAGATGATTAGAAAATAAAAGAAGTAATAGCTTATAATTCTATATTAGCGAAAGCATGCCTAAGATTTATCTAATAAATATAGCCTAATAGCAAGAATAAGTGCATTGAAGAAAATCTGATACTAACGCATGCAATATATATGATTTTCTAAGTGCAACTACAGTTAGTGCGCAGAAGTGCGATTGAAAGTTCTAGCGTATACGGTGCATCTGTGCCGATTAATTGTGTGCCGATATTTTGAAGTGATAAACATGTCATATTATCACATGAGATAGTAAAATGTGCATAATTATGTACATGTACATGTGCGTCAATCTATTTCAAGTATAAGTGCAAATGACTTATAATTTCTAATCTACTTAGAATGTGGTAAGAGTGCAAATTGTGCAAGAAGTAAAATGTGCATTTCTACACACTAAATGTGCAATGTGCATACTATATACAGTGTTTATAATTTAAGGTATTAGCTTCTATTTCTAGTGTGCAGCTGTGCATGGTGCTGGATGTGTTCATTCTTTATGTGTTTCTTTCACTAGGGAAAGAATCCCTAGCTTCTTTGTGCGCGTGTTAGCTTGCAGTTTAGTCCTAAACCTCCTACTATTTCTTATTTCTCTGCTTGCGTTGCAGAGGCTCATTTTATATAGTTAGTAGATATTTTTATGCCAAATGAGGGGCTTGCATTGGCATAAAACGACTTTTTCGGGAGAGTTTTCCGATTAAAAGAAGCATTGAGAAGTGAAACACGATCAAGGTTAATATTTCCCCCAATTTTTGAGTAGTTTTAAAATTTCTTCAAATGATTCAGCCATAGATTGAAAAACAATGACTTGCTTGATTTGATTGAGAATAGTTCATTGGTAAAAGAAGCGTGTATACTGAAACTGAGTTTAATTATGAATAAAATAGGTTTTTATTAGTTGAGTTAGCTTTCTTGAATGTAGTATATTTACAATACCGTAAAAATACTTTTTAAGCGTAAGTTATTTACCGTTTAAGGTTATATTAAAAAATAACATTCAGTAAATAAAGAGGAAATAACAAGGCTAAAAACGAATAGATTACATTAAAATGTGGTTATTTTGAAATATTTTCAACTAATATTCTATAAAGTAATTTGCTATGTTTTTATTCAAAAATAAATATTTTTCAGCTTTTGAAAAATATCATACAGTTTATTACAAAAATAAAATTAATAATCAGATAAAATATTTTATCTGTGCATGTCACTTTAGTTTTCAAACTATTACTAAATTTTAACATTAATTGATTGAATATTTGCATAATAAAATGTTATTTAGACATTTGAATTGGAAAATGATATAGTGTTTTGTATTAAAAAAGGAAAATTAACGCTATGCTTGAAAGTAATGTTAACTTTTGTAATGGAAACTGACAATGATTTTTCACTCTGAAATGGCATCCGATTTTTCGAAAGAAATGCCATTGATTGCTTTTTTTTAAAATTAGAAAAGACATTTGAGACTGTTTTAGATTTAAATTTGGCAAACTTGATACTATATGCTAGAGGGTTTTTAGTAGGTGGTTATGATCTACTATATTTCAGATTGATTTACTGCTTTTAAAAGTAATTTTACATTTTTCTTGATGATTCCTAGCAAAGCCGAGAAGGATGATATTTTTTAAAAATAATTTTGTTTCTATAAAATTTCATTCAAAACAATTTTATTTCTATAAAATATGTATGAAAACATTAACATATACGAAATAAACTTGTATGTAAGATGAAAGTAGTTTTTCGAAATTTATTCTTAATATTTATACATTACTTGTACAAAAGCTTTAATATGGTTTAATCAAACAATATCATTATTAAGGTTGCTGATATATATATTCTATGTTTGGAGTTAAAACATACACTGCTCGTAAAATACGTGTAAAAAAAGTTAATAAGAAGGGTTTTAAAAATGTTGCTAAGTAATTTCATTACAATGATAGACAAATGGAATTTAGAATGTCACTGAGGCGAAAATAATAATTAAAAACAAAGTAATTTTTTTAAGTAAGTAAGGAAAAATTGTAAAATTATCTATCGGATGCTACTATTCACAAATTTTTAATTGTTAGCCACCGAGTTACTTTTTACTGAGTAAAATTGAATGATCACAACTATCAGAATATGGTAAATTTTTCCGTATTTCTCTATGGGAACACCGAAAATATCGATAATTTTTTCTGAAGAGCTTTGGTAATGATGTTGGTGAAATTAATACGGTTTTATATGTGATAAAATTGGTAATTTTATAGTGATACCTTAGGTCACAGCATAAAAAAAGCATTTATTTGATTAAATTTAATTTTCAGTTTAATATTTTTTATTTAAAATGCTATAACAAGAACTATAATTTTGCAAACCAGAATTCCCGTAAACCATTGACGAAAAAATGAACCATATGAACGAAAAAATTACTAAATGAATGCCATTTTTGTTTTATTAACCGAAATAAATTTTTGTTTACCAGAAATCTTATTACTATGTGGTAATATTACCAGAAATGTTTTTTTTGCATAAAGTTCGTGCATAAGTATGTTTTTTTTAAAAAAATTTAGTTTCTTAGATTAGAAATTTTCCTAAGATTAACTTTTACATTTTTTTTATAATTTAATGACTCAAATGGTTTAAACTTTATAAAATAAATGATTACATTATTTACATAATTGATTAAATGAATTTAAAAATGAATTTTTAAAAAATGCAACAATGTTGAAGAAAATGTTTAAAATATTTTTTGTTTAGGAAAAGATTAAGAACTCGAAGTGCCGTTTTCTAAATATAAGGTTATCATAAAATAACATAAGTTATGCGGAGCCAAAATATTATGAAATGGTTGGGCAAAATGCTACTATCTAAATATCACAGATAATTATTTTAGGTCATAGAAAACAAGATTCCGGGATTGATTTTAAATAGCTTTAAAGTTATTTAAAAGAAAATGAAAGAAAATATCTCTTACGTAACAATTTTAATGCAAATTAATTTTCAATAATTTCTTTCATTTAAAAAATAAATAAATATTATTATGTGCTTCTTAAATGTTTTACCGAGTTTTTTTATATTTTTAATTGATTTTTGTTGTAAAATACTTTACAACTCTATTTAAACTTTCACGGTACCTTGAACATGGTCTAATATGTTTGGCTACCAAGTTGGCTTGCATAAGCCAAATTTATTATCAATTTGGCGGTGGCCTAAAATTAGTAATCAAACAGGACCAACTAATTTTCAATTAAATGAGCTCTAAACAACTCAAATTGTTTTATGATCACCCTCTAAATAGCTGAAACTATTTTTTGCTGTTCTCAATCGTAATATGTGTATACATATCTTTAGAATTTGCCAAATATAAAATAAACCTTTATTATTTCTTAAGATTGAAATTAAATTGTTTCCCGAAATTCATTTCCTTTTGTGAAAGACGCAGCGGGTACGTTCTTGCTAAGAAGAAGTTCGTCAAAAAGATAATCAAAAATTTATTTCAATCATTTAAGTTGATTTTTAGCGCAATAGGTATACATATCGGATAAAGAGGCATAGAAACTGAAAATCGAGGAAGTAATCATTTCAAAACAAAATAAGCAATTAAATGCTCTTTGCTAAATCTGAAAAGTAGCAAATTTGTAATACATTTTAACTTGACCCTTAATTTGCTCGATCAATATAATATTTTAGATATGTACATGATGATGAAATTGCTGATTAGAAAATAAAAGAAACATTAATTACGCAATCAAGCAAAAAAAAAAAAAAACTGACATGCACAATAGTTTCGTTAGGGCGACTTTACCATGCAGTCAGTGCAAGATAAAAGCAGTTTCTGCAGCCCGTCGGTTTATAACCAA